CACCTGAGAGGTCTGACGTCAGCAGCACATGCAGCTGGCTACATGGGTGTATGACCCATGTGATTATAGAAGTGTGGGTGTAAAAAACCACCCACCTGAGTGTCATAGTGGTAGATGCGCCTGGAGAGGTCTGACGTCAGCAGCACATGCAGCTGCCGACGTGGGTATAGTACCCAAGTGATTACAAAAGTGTGGGTGTATTGACCCCCCCACCTGAGCCTCAACGTGTGAGTAGCCCACGGTGCCACCCACCTGAGTGTCATAAAGTGAGATGCGACTGGAGAGGTCTGACGTCAGCAGCACATGCAGCTGGCCACGTGGGTGTATTACCCAAGTGATTATTTAAGTGTGGGTGTGTAAACCCACCCACCTGAGTGCCATAGTGGGAGATGCGCCTGGAGAGGTCTGACGTCAGCAGCACATGCAGCTGGCCACGTGAGTGTATTCGCCCAGGAGCTTCTACCCATCCGAGTGTATAAACCCAACTCACCCACCTGAGTGTCATAGTGGGAGATGCGCCTGGTGAGGTCTGACGTCAGCAGCACATGCAGCTGCCCATCAGCCGTGAAACAGGCCAGAAGCTTCCCGGAAGCAGACACTGCCATGCACTGCACTGCTGTTGCCATCTCTGGAGCGCCCTGCGAGGGGGTGAGGAGAGGAGAGGAAGGGGGAGTGTGGGGGAAGAGTGTGTGGGGTGGGGAGTGTGTGGGGAGTGTGTGGGGAGTGTGTGGGGAGTGTGTGGGGAGGGATGCGGGTGAAGAGAGGTGGAAAGGGAGTGGTAAGAGCTATAGGGAGGAGGAGGCAACGTGAGGAAGGGGTAACATTAAACCCTAAAACCCCCTAATCCCTAAACCCTGAACTCTCAACAAGGCTATTCCATTCCACTCAGCACCGCGTATCCCCCCCCCCCCCCTTGTTTCCCACGGTCCCACCGCACCACACGTGTAATCATCACCTGTTGAAATTTATCAACTCTCAGCAAAGCAGCCTCCGTTCCAAGCAACACACTACCTGAGCCCCACTGCCAGATTTTTTAGGCGCCTAAATACTGCCTGAGCCCCACTGCTAGAATCCTGAGATCTACTGCCACATGGTGACCTGAAGTCCAATCCTCCCTTTAAGTCAACTCAACCCTTTCTACCACTCGCCAACCGTTGCACTGTCTCCCCGTCCACTCTCAGCAGAGCAGCCTCCGTTCCAAGCAGCCCCGCCCCATGCTCTCCCCCCCGCCCTTCCTTTTTCACCACTAATATTCCCCATTCCCTCTAACCTCCCTCTCCCCCCGCCCCCTCCACTAACCACGCGTTGCACTGTCTCCCCGTCCACTCTCAGCAGAGCAGCCTCCGTTCCTAGCAGCACCGCCACCTGGGCAGTGCCGACGTCATCCGCTGACGTCAGCACAGGATCCAGCACAGCCATGCAGGCTGGTGGCTCTGTCAAGCCGGGGTCCGCCAGTGGGAAGACCTCGGGCTCCTGGTGGGAAGCGAACGAGGAGGGGTTCGAGGGGATTAGAATGGGGAGCAGAAGACTCTGCCAAGCCCGGGGCCGCCAGTGGGAAGACCTCGGGCTCCTGTGGGGGTGTGGTGGGGGGGGAGGAAAAGGGGGTTTGGGAGGAGCGACGTGAAGCAAGGGGAGGGGGAGGATGTCACACCGTCAATGGCTCTGACAAGCCGGGGTCCGCCAGTGGGAAGACCTCGGGCTCCTGTGGGGGTGTGGGGGGGGGAGGAGACGTCACGTGGGTTTGGGTGGCGCGACGTGAAGCAAGGGGAGGGGAGAATGTCACACCGTCAATGGCTCTGACAAGGCGGGTGACACTAGTGAGAAAGGTGCGAAGGGGGAAGGGGTGGGTAGGTGGGGGGGGTCGAAGTCAAGGTGGGGAGGGGGGGGGTGGGGGGGGTTTACAATCAATGGCACTGACGACCCCAGGTTTACCAAGGGGACGACCTTGGGTAGCTGTGAGGGTAGAGAAGTGGGATGGGCAGCAGCACGGCACTGCATAACTGGTTCGACTGGCATGCTCAAGTAACACTAATAACAACCATCACAAGTCTCTACTGACATCAAAGTCCATCAAACCCCGTATACTCACATCAAAGTCCACTAACCGCCGTATATTCACATCAAAGTCCACTAACCCCCGTATACTCACATCAAAGTCCACTAACCCCCGTATACTCACATCAACCACCACACGAACGTCCCCCTTAATACTCACATCAAAGTCCACCATCGCTAGTAGCTGGCAGCTCTCAGTCAAGCACACCACGCCCGCCGCCACAGCCCCTCCCCTTCCCTCCCCTTTCCCGCCACTTGCCTCCCCCCCAGTACCATCTCCTTTCCTCTCTCCTGCCCCGCCTCCTCCTCTCATGCCGAATATGTGGGCCTCTGTGATTCCTTCGAGGTTGTTTGTGTGCAGGGGGATGCGGGGGAGAGTGCCCTTCCCATGCATTGAGCACTGCAGGCAGTGGGGGGTGGGGGGTGGGGGGAAAGGGGAGGGGGGAGGAGTGAGGGGGGAGCGGAGAAGGGAGAATATGTGTGCCTCTATGATTCCTTCGAGGTTGTTTGTGTGCAGGGGGATGCGGGGGAGAGTCCCTTCCCATGCATTGAGCACTGCAGGTTAATGTGGGGGAGGAGGGAAGGTGGAAGAAGGGGGCGGAGGGAGGGGGAAGGAGGGAGGAAAGGGGGGGGGGGAGGGAGGGGGAAGAGAGAGGAGACTAAAATAGCCGGATGATTCTGCAGTCAACTTACAAGGAAGTTGTAAAAGATTTCCTCGTTACAATCGCACCTGGTGAAGCATCTTCTCTCCCTCCACCCCAACCCCCCATCAGCCTCCATTAATATGTAGTCAAGAAATCAAAAGAACCCCTTCATTATAATCTCACCTGATGAACAGTGCCGTCTTCAAGCACCGATACAAGCACCAGCCCCCCCACAGCATCCTCCCTCCACCCCAACCCCATCAGCCTCCCCCCCGGCGGCTCCCACAGGAATCTCGAGATCGGCCGTCCAGCTGCTGAAAACACTGATATGTACTGCCGAGCCTGGGCTGCCGAGCCTGCTGCCGAACTTGCGCCACTGCCGCGCCTGGGAAGGTGGTTGGGGTCGCGGACGGTGGCGATTGGCCCGCCGTAGGGCGCACAGGCGACCATGAGCTCTGATAGGTCCACGTCCTGTGGAAAGCGGGGAGGGGGAGGTGGGGCGGGAGGAAGCCGACCGTGAGCTCGTATAGGTCCACGTCCTTGGGGATGGGATGGGATGGGAGGGGGGGGAGGAAGAGGAGGGGGGTGGGGGGGAAGGTGTGGGGGCGGGGGAGAGGAGGGGGGCGGGGGAAAAGAGGGGGGGGGGATGGGAAGGGGGGAGAGAGGCAAGGAAGGTCCGCGCTTTGTCAAATGGGGGCGATGACTTTTGATAGGTCCACGTTCTGGGGGTTTGGTAATAGTCTTGTTTTGATGCGTCCCAAAACGGGAGGGCTATGCTTTGTCAAAAGGCGACCATGATTTTTTAAATAAGTCCACGTTCAGGGGGCGTGTACAGACGACCGAAGCGGGATACGGTGGACTACCAAGCGCATCTCGCGCAGGAATCTAAGTATGCAGCTACTATATTGTCGACTGAAGACTGAAGACTGAGAGTGTAGTTGGATGAACAGTGTCTTAAAAGGACCGCTGCTTAACACCCTGACCTCAACGGACTGGAACAAGCATCAAAGAGCGGAAAACGTTGCCGTTTTAATGTGCGAAGCGCTAGTCCTCGATATAAGAGGAAGGTAACTTGTTTTCTTCACCTGCCATTGCAGGTCTGGCAGAGGCTGTACGCGATAAAAGCAGTTCGAGAGCTCCGTCCATTCCGCTGCGACTGACACAGCCATGACTGATGTGATCCTGGAGCGAGCGGCGAATTCACGCGATTTCTACTCTCCCTGCCTTAGGACTTAGGAGCCGACTCAATCGTCACCCGGCTGCGACTGTTACAGCCATGACTGATGTGATCCCAGAACGGGTTCCTTTCTCACGCGATTTCTAATCTCCCTGTATGTATACAATCCCCTATTCATGCGATTTCTGCATGTGAGGCACGTGCCACTCTAATCCAAGGCATGTGTAGGAGCTCAGTACTAGGAGCTCTGCAATGACATCAGCAATGATGTTCTGAAATCCCCGTTGGTAGATTCCTCGATAACATTATATAAGCGTGACGGCGGATTCAGGAGAAAAAAGCTACAATCCCAAGGTAGAACGAATTGGTAAGTTGAACCGAACCAGACCGATTTGCATACTGAGTTACCAGCAGGCGGACCAAAGCACAGGCCACAAGCCCCAAACCTCGAGACTAGCATGCCGTGCCTCGGGTCGTCTGAACGCACCTGAGTGGACAACAAGCAAGAAGGCACGCAGGTATGGTTCCGTACCTGACCATACAAACCTCACCATCAAGTTCGTAGGCGCTTGAGCCAGCACAAATCCGTCCACCCTACAGAATACCTCGAGGTTGGGTCTGAACAGGATGTTCCATGTGCAATGTACGCGGTGCTGTACGGTGCGACAAGTTGAGAACCGGTTTTCGTGCTTCACCGCTCTGAACCTTTAGTCACCAAACCCGGTGAAGTACTCATGGGACCCCCAGTGAGGGGGTGTGCGAAGTAGAGCATGAGGTTTCGGGACGTCGCAGAACCGATATTTTATTCTCTCGAACCGTTCTAAAAACAACGAAGACGGTACTCTACCTTCCTGTGACGTCCCGCGACGTCACAATTTGTTTTACTTTGGACATTCCCTGACATCAACCATCATCAACCGTTGATCTTGTTTCAACAACAGCACTACTATATTGCCAGTTAGGGCGTCAGAAGTGTTCATTTTCGCTCGAAACCCTACCCAACCAATCTAGATAGTTACAAAACGTACAGAAATGTAAATCACCTCATTTAACCGTGCTAAAGTGATCGCTTGTGACACGCCCTAAGAAATCTGTCAGCCTAAGTCCTGTCAGACTCTGAGAGCTGGTTTCCTGGTTTCCTGCAAGGAAGCGGACGCCATGATCCCTGAAGTCCACAGAGTTTCGGACAACTCTTAGCTGACGCCGCGACTAGGTGCATTTTCCTTGTCAGTATCCTTTGTTCGCCGCTCCAAATGGAGCTCTCTGTGGAAGGCTAAGAACCAGAGAGACGAGCTCTTTCACTCTGACTCAACCTCGTAATAGGTCGAATTCCACTACCAGTCTCCTCCGTCATTATCTTTATTTTTACGTACCAATCGCCTCCGTCGTAGGTTGCAGTTTCCTGATATTTAATATTCTTACAGTGAATTCTTACACACATGCGGAGCTGACGTGGCTGGCCGGCAAATTGCATCACATGTGATTCCAGCCAGAAGCTGAAACCGTCACTGACGGTTTACCAGGCCGTCAGTTAGCAAGTCCGCGAGCAGTTATCCGACAGTAGCATTTCACGTCGGAGATAGCCGCCTGACGACCACAGTAACCACTTATCGTCAAATTTGTATCGCGCCGATATTTCCTTCCGAATTCCCACAATAGAGAGTTTTGTTTCGAAACCATGACTACCGACACCCGCTCCTCGTGTTCTACTGCGTCTACCTGGTCAGAAAACGGCGCCACTGATCGCATTTTTGAGACGTCTGAAGGATCCTCAGCTTCTTCCTGGAAAGAGAACGGCATCACTGATCGGATAGTCTGCTTCCTGGAAGGCCTAGGCTCCCCCTCCGGTTGCCGGCACGAGGACTTCCGGCTGCAGAACGGCGAGGAGGCGTTTCGAGGTTTGCACTCCGACTGGGTGACCAACGAGCTGCTGGCGTGCGCGAGACCCACGGACGCCATGATCGAAGACGGATTGGCGCATAGATTCGCTGAAAGAGGCATCAGGCTGATCGTGAACCTGGAGGTACAGACGGTTGAAAGAGGCATCAGGCAGAAAGGGAACCTGGAGGTACAGACGGTTGGGTTGGGAGTGGTGGAATGATGTTGTGCTGCTGGATGCGCCGCGAATGGTATCAGGCTGATCTTGAACCTGGAGGTACAGACAGTTGGGAGTGTAGGAATGCTGGTGTGACGCGTGGTCTCTTGCATCCAGCTGGGTAACCAACGAGCTGCTGGCGTGTGCGAGACCCGCGGGCGCGATGGTCGAAGACGGATTGGCAGAGAAATTCAATGCAAAGGGTATCGGGCTCATTGTGAACCTGGAGGTACAGATGGGTGCACGTGGAGGTACAGATGGGTGGATGTGGAGGTACAGATGGGTGGATGTGGAGGTACAGATGGGTGCACGTGGAGGTACGGATGGGTGTACGTGGGGGTGCAGATGGGTGTAAGTGGAGGTACACTATGCTCTGTATAAAGGCATGAGTCAAGTAGGTGCCATGCCCCTTGCATACCGCAGGCCAATATGTGATAAAATGTCTGTGCTAGATCAGTTCTGCTCTACACCCCATGCCCGTGATGCAGTCTATGTCCTCGATCGATGCACGACCAGGCTTTTAAGTCGATTTAAAAGTTATGTCGTTGTGAACATACTGAAAAACGCGATCAATGTTTTCCGTGCATGCTCACAGGAACCAGGGGAGCACCCATGGTGTGGGCCAGGGATCACAGCGTCGGGGTTTTCCTACACTCCAGACAAATTCATCAAGGCTGGAGGTCAGCTGCTGCTCTGTGCATGCACCTGATGAATAGTATTTTCAAAGAACACCTACACCAAGATGGTGCGGGACAGGGATCAGAGCATCAGGCTTCTCCTACACTCAAGAGCTCTTTATCAAGGCTGGGGGTCCGCAGTTGCTCATGCTGAAGCATAGCTCTTGTTCAGAACTCACTTTCTCCCTCTCTCACTCTCAAGCAGTTTTGTATTTACTGAAATCCCCATGCCATCCATCGCCATGTGACCAGTGGGTTACCTCCACGCGCCCTGGAAGGACATGGCATGCCCGCCGTTCCCTACCATGCTCTCTATCGTCCAGAGCATCTCCGTCGTCATTGGACGGCGCCAAAAGGTGTGCAGTCGGACGAAATCTGCACTCAAGTGCAGCTATTGTATAGCAGGCATGCTGTGCATGCCTCGTCTCCAGGCCGCCTGCTGACGACAATATATTTGTTCCTCCTGCAGGTTGCTGTTCACTGTCATGCTGGCCTGGGTAAGCAAAGCGGCTGCTAAGGACTTCACTCGACTCGTTTTATGCTCTAACAATCTCGCAAGCTCGTATGCCATGCGTGTGACATAGCTATTTTGATTCTGCAGGGAGGACAGGCCTTGTGATCGCATGTTACTTAGTCGCAGCAAATTCTCTGGCGGCTGCTGATGTAAGACCCTCACTTGGTCCCCCTCCATGCACTCGTCACTGATTTTTCCCTCTCCTGCAAGCCTTCGTTTTCTTTGCTGCTGGGTCTAATCACATGCACATAGTGACATCCAGAGTGGAGTCGTTTTTATTTAGAATTCTAAAAAATGACGTCTGAACTTCCTCTCTCCCCTTTGCTGTTGCAGGCTGTAGCTGTTGTGCGAGCGATGAGGTATCATGTGAAAAAAGCTTGAAGCATGCTCTACTTTTCACATGCTGGACGAATCTCAGCTTTTATGGGATTTTAGTCTGTTGCGTTTGTCACACCTCACACCTATTGGCTACTGCTTGCCACTCGCTGCTCACCTCCTGTTTTCTGCTTGTGTGCAGGCCTGGATCACTGCAAACACGGAAGCAGGAAGTCTATGTGGCTGAATTCCAGGTAATTTCTCTTTCTTCTTCCTATTTCTCCTCCTGGGGTCAGAGAACATCAATTTTACTGCTCAGCTTCATATCGCCCGTATTGTCAGCATCTTCACTTTCCACACTTGCTCATGTGCCATTCATTTTGCATTTTTTTTTTCCCCTGTCTGTGGTTTGTAACTTGGTCCACACACATGCAGAGATTTGTGCGTGGAGATGCCACCAATGGGTCCCAAGAACAAGCCCCTTTGTTGGCTGGGCAATACTCTCCTGAGGTATCCATTTATCAAGGGCACACAAGCATGTTTTTCCATTTACAGTCTTCTGTTCTGTTCCTGTTTGCCACTTGTCCTTTGTGCCATCACTGTCTTTTCTCTTTTCTTCTCTAATAGTAAGCTTGGATGCTACATATTTTACTGATGCGTCCTATCTTGTTGTGTGCAGGGCGCATGGATATACAGGATCCAGGATCTAGCATCGTACGCTTGCCTTCTATGCTCTGTTTGTTGCAATCGTAGGAGAAGGCCAATAGCCTGCTAACTTATACAGCTGTTTGTTTCTCACCTGTATACAGTTGAGCTTAAAGCCCGCGGCCCAAATTGTTCATACGCATTGCGTATGAACTGTGAGCCTCAGCTTGGACGAAATACAGAGTTAAATCGTGAGGGTGTTTCATCTCGCGAATTCGCAATTCGTCGTAGATCGTCCGATTTGCAAGCAGGTAGTGCAACGGCTGAAATTACATTTCGATTTACTGGGGGAAGCACTTGACCTGCGCGCCGTCAGATGGAAATCCCTAAATATTGGACGGCTAAAATACACGAGGCACTGGATGTCCCAAAATACGTTCCGCACTGAACTTGAAAGCCAGCCCCGAGTGACGCGAGTCACGTACCCCCATCTTCACCCACGAAAACGTGACTTTCAAACGCAGTGCGTTTGAAGGTCGCGCCTTGCAATTTGGGCCGCGGGCTTTAAGTGTAGTAAAGAACTGACTTCACGCTGACGCCGTCGCTTCGCCAGTTGGAAAGGCTGGCGAATGAGGCCGACGGACGAGATGACGAGCGCAGGGAAAGAGGGGCGTCCTGAACGATTGCGATGCATTTGACACCACCGACGACGCCTCGCATCTTCGGCCAGAGTTCGCCCAAATTATGGCAGTTCAAATTTGAATTTCGGTTCTCCAAGTTAGACCTGTTCGAGGGCTCCCAGTCCGTCACACCTAGGTTCAGGCAGGTGCGCCATCCGCACCAGAAGTTTCAGAAGTATTTTTAGTCTTCATTCAAAGACGAGAATTATCTGACAGCCTCAGCGTCAGCCTCAGCCTCGGAATTATTGTCATCCTGCTTCCGTTGGCGATTGTGACTTAGGAGAGCTTTGAGTGTTTCGTGCAGCGTTGTCCCGTAAGCTAGGTTAGACTTTGGCCTAGGGAAAGGACCAATCAACGCAGCGACTATGGCTCATCAGGCCCCAATTATCGACCAGCTAGGATCTCCCACCGCACCAGGTCTAGCCGCTGATACTGATGCGGACGGTTATGATTTTCTAGGTAACGGCCGTCCCGCATCGAGCGGTGGAGATCATCCGGGTGAATACGACAGCGAGGACGAGCTCTTAAAGCCGTCAGGGCCTGCCGACATGTCTGCTTTCAAATGCTTCGTCGCGGAAAACGTCTCCTCAAATGTTTCCTCGCAGCCCGGGGCTACCTTTCCGCAGTCCTCCTCCTTGCGTACCGCGTCTAAACGGTTCACTGCCGCTCCTCCGGGCCCTGCGCGGTTCACTTCGGTTCCTTCGAGTTCTGCGCGGTTCACTTCGGCTCCGCCGGGCTCTGCGCGGTTCCCTCCCGGCACTAACCGTGCTCCGAACTTACCATTTGTCGCTGGCCGTGGCGGCAAGAACTCGAATACAGGCAGCACGGCCGGCGGGGGGAAAGGCACTAGCAGCAGCTATGGTCGCCGCATCAATGGGAACCCCTCGGGTTCTGCCGGACAGCAGAAAGTTGCTGACTCGGGAAATACATTATTTAGGAGCTCGGACGGTTCAGGAAGCGTCTTAATTAATGATGTCAGAGGCGTTGGTAGATCTAATGCAGGGTTTCAGTTTGGAGGCAGTAAATCGGGCAACAAATCGGGCAGCAAGTCGGTTCCCAGTGCCGATAAGTATTCTGCTTCAAAACGCTCTAACGTGTCTCCAACCGTTGCTTCCAACGTGGTTTCGGCTGTCGCTCCAGCCAGCGCGGCTGTGGGATGGGAACGGCCGGCAGGAGCATCGGTGACAACGGCAGCAGCAGCAGCAGCAGCAACAACCATGGCAGCAGCTACGACCGCCACAGTAACAGCAGCAGCGTCTACAACGACCGCAACCAAAGCGGCAGCAACGACAGCCGCAGCAGCCAGAGCAGCAGCAGGGCCATCAGCAGCAGCAGGAACATCAGCAGCAGCAGGAACAACACTGGCAAGAATTACAGGAGCGGCAACAACAGCAGCAGCAGCAAGAACATCAGCAGCAGAAACAGGATCAGTCCCTGCTGCAGCCGAAGTACCGACCACAGCAGCAACAACAGCAACAGAGCCGGTGACAGCAGCAGGAAGCACAGGAGAAGGATCAAGGAAAGGAGGAGGGGTGACGAGAGAAGGAGGGGTGAGAGGTGGAGGAGCGACAGCAAACGGCGAGGTATCACCTGGAGGGGTACCAGGCGAAGGGGAACCAGTGGGGAGGACGGCGGCAGCCGTAAACATGGTTGAGGGGGCAGCGAAGAGAGCGAGGGAGAGGGACCTGGGGGATGTGGAAGAACACTCCGGGATTCGCCTCAGGTGAGTTCAAAGATCACTCTTCAACGCTCCTTGAGGAGATCACCGTGCTTGATGCGGTGTGGCAACGAGAGCACCTTGGCATGGGAACAGTGTAGAGGTTGCAGCGAAGAGAGCGAGGGAGAGGGATGTGAGAGACGTGTTTTGAGGCGCCTCAAAAATCGTCTCAGTTTTTGAGGCGCCTAAAAAATGGTAGAGGTTGCAGCGAAGAGAGCGAGGGAGTGGGATGTGAGAGACGCGGAGGAGCAGTCCGGCATTCGCCTCAGGTGAGTCAAAAGGTTTGAGATCAGGCATGGCTCATTCGTTGACAATAGAATGGCAAACGGTATTAAGGGATAAGTGGGGCATGAGCATGGTGTGTATGGCTTGGTTAAGTTTAAGACTTTGCGTGATGCCGGTTGCCATGTGCTTTTGAGGCGCCTCAAAAGCACTTTAAGAGTTTGCGTGATGCCGGTTGCCATGTTTTCCTGGGGCTGCTACCGTCGCTCTTACTCTCACCTCTGTGTGCGCTTCCCGGTTCGCCTCGCTCTTACTCTCCTCCCCGGCAGGAACCGTTTCATCTCTGCGCCGAGGCGACCTTTGAGTCGACTCAAAAGTCTCCTGTTTGCGTTTCACCCCCCTGCCAGGAACCGTTTCATCTCTGCGCCAGTGCTCAGGCAGAAGCTGGCCGACATCCGCTTTCTTCGCCTCGAAGCCATCCCGTGAGAGGCCATCCCTTGCCTGTGCCATATGCCATGCCTCTGTGCACTTCCCATAGAGAAACATTCTTTAGAGTCATGCTTCCTCGCACCATGCCTCATGCCTACCTCCATTGTTGGAATTCAGCCACTCCAAATGCAGGTTTCCCAGGCGTGCTTAGTTTTTTTTCTATTGTCTGTTCCTCCCCCCCTTCCCCTTAAACCCTGCCCAAATACCCACCACCTTCGTACTCCCCGTGTGCTCTTCCCCAGCTCTGCTCTGATTGGTGGGAGGAGCCAGCTGTCGGGCGCATGGGCCACCATCGCCGTCATATCCGGGACCTCCACCACCAAGCCCTCTTCTTCCTCCCGCCCCTTCGTCTCCTGGAAACTCACTGCTCTCTCCGGTGCTTTAGGGGGAGGCCAGGGCGGAGGGAGAGGAGGAGGGGGGGGAGGGGGAGGTGGGAGGGGCGGGGGGATGGAGGAGGTCACGCTGTTTCTGTTTGGAGCGGCGTTTGACGTGTATTGCAGGCAAGACAGAGGGACGGTGGTGGCGGTCTTAGGAGCAGAGGCCAACCCGCCAAAGGGGGTGAGTGCAGGGAGCTTTAGAAAAAAAGCGAAGTAGCAAAGGGCCTATGGTGTCTGATATTGGCCTTTTTTGCTACAGCGTTGGACGATCACTCACGATTGACCACTAATACCCGTTCTCACTCACCCACTCCCATTCACTCCTTGCCGCTGCAGAATCTCCCACCGTCTCTCCATGTGTTCCGAGCCAATCAAATCCTGCCACTTGGCACAGCGAGGGATTTCGGCATCTGCAAGGGGGTCACAGAAAGCAATGAGCCATGCCAGGCTGTTGTAAACAAGTACGTACCGACTTGAAACAAGTGCGTACTTTCTCTGAAGCAAGTACGCACCTTCTTGAAATAAGTGCGTACATTCTTGAAACAAGTACGTACATTCTTGAAACAAGTCCGTACTTTCTTGAAACAAGTACGTACCTTCTTGAAATAAGTGCGTACATTCTTGAAACAAGTACGTACATTCTTGAAACAAGTCCGTACTTTCTTGAAACAAGTACGTACCTTCTTTAAAGTCTGGAATCATTCGCTAGAAGCACTCGGTATGTCAGGCCGTATTGAGCAATAACTGTGATTGAGTTGTGCACCCTACCCCCGAAACCTTCGCAGAGTACTGTGACCGCCACATTTTGGCACCATATCAGAAGATGGACCCCCTTGTCGCTGCATTTCACCTCATCCATCCCATCCCATCCCATCCCATCCCACCCCATCCCATCCCATCCCATCCCACCCCATCCCGTCCCATCCCGTCAAATCCCTTCCTTCCCGCCCATCCCAACCGTACCCTCTACTGCCAGAACCCTTGCGGAGTACTGCGACTGCCACATTGCAGCAGCGTACCAGAAGATGAAGCCAAGCCGCCTGGAACTGGATGGCGGGTGAGTGGCCTCTCCTTGAATGGGCATTCTATAGTCATTCGCAGGGTAGTGCTTGCTGGTAACCTGCTTGCTGGTAACCTGCTGGCTGGTAGCCTGCTGGCTGGTAGCCTGCTAGCTGGTAGCCTGCTATCTAGTAGCCTGCTTGCTGGTATCCTGCTTGTTGGTAACCTGCTAGCTGGTAACCTGCTAACTGGTAGCCTGCTAGCTGGTAACCTGCTGGCTGGTAGCCTGCAAGCTGGTAGCCTGCTAGCTGGTAGCCTGCTAGCTAGTACTAGCTGGTAGGCTGCTAGCTGGCAAACGTCTCGTTCACCTTTTCCTATAAGAACAACGTCGCAACGAGCTCTAAATCCACAATCCTTCCACCGCCATTCTCTCTGTACAATCACAACCCAGAAGAAACTCTCGACCGCCTTCCTCTATGGGAACAACGTGCGGCGGTCCCGGCAGGTGCTGTTCACTACCATCCGTTACCAAAATTATTCCGCTGCCCTTCTCTCTCCTTATAATCACGCCCTACAGGAACCTTTCGACCGCCTTTCTCTTTAGGAACAACGTGCGGCGGTCCCGGCAGGTACTGCAGGGTGCTGGGCACTCGGGCAGTGAGAGCAGCAAGAGGAGGGCGAAGCCTGCAGCAGCTCTGAGCCAAGAAGCACTGAAGAGCATTCTCAGGTGGGTTGGGTTGTGTGAGAATGCGTGACAATGCGTGTGCAAGCTTGTGTGGTTTTTGCACGTCTCAGCATGGAACAAGGAGCCTCTTAAGGGACTTTCGAGTGAATAGTGCTATGGACGTTTATTCTGAAGAGCAATTATCATGCTGTAATGGAGGTTAATGGGGTGGCTGATTCATGACTCCCCGCCTTCAAGCCCCTCCACCTGCCCCCCCCCCCCCTCTTCCCTCCCCCCCTTTACGCCGGCGCCTTTGATTGCTCCCCCTTCTCGTGGTTTCTGACCAGTCTGACCCCCAGGGAGAAGGAGAACCTCACAAGCCGGCCTGTGTCTCAGGGCAGGCGGTTCCTGGCAGCGGCAACGGGCGACGAGGAGCGAGCGATTCTCTTCTCTCCCTGACCTCTTTGTTCTCTCCCTGACCTCTTTGTTCTCTCCCTGACCTCTTTGTTCTCTCCCTGACCTCTTTGCTGCTTTCCTGTTCCCCGCCACCCTTCAGGGAGAAGGAGAACCTCACAAGCCGGCCTGTGTCCCAGGGCAAGCGGTTCCTGGCAGCAGCATCAGGGGATGAGGAGCAAGCCCCATACATACCGCCACTTAAGCGAGCCAAGGGAGGGGAGAACGGGACAATAGGGAGTGAGACAATACGGAGGGGGGTTGGGGTGACCGCGAGGGTGGATGGATCATGGGAGGGGGTTAAGAGAGGAGTGGATGGGTTGGGTGGGGTTGGTAACGGTAAAGCAGGAGTTGGTGGTTTTGTGCACGATAAGAGCCCTACTTGGAAGTCGAGAGAGCAACGTTTCCAGCCAATGGAGAGAATGGTGGAGCTAGTTGATGCCAATGATGACGAGGAGGATGATATTGGAGCAGCCAGCGAGGTGAGTGTGCTAACATATTCCATATTTCAGTACAACCTAGTGGTTTCACTTTTCAGTGATTTTTTTTTTATTATTATTATTTCCTTCGTGTCCGTGTAGGCCTTGATTCTGAATTCGTTTCTCAAGGCAAGCCAAACGGCTTGTGGTATGTAAAGTTCAGGTTTCATTTGATCTCCAAGATTATATGTGGCCCTTTATTATAACTGTTGGTGTAGGGAACAAGCGTGGACTTGTCCCCACAATTTCACCTCCGTGTGTAAGAACCAAACCGACGTTGACGGTTCCCCGTTTCCTTCAATCCGATTGAAGCTGATGCCACATCAGACTAGGACAGTCTCCCCGTTAGGTGTTGACTGATCTCCGTTGACGCGCCTCGCCCTTGGATTTCTGCGAAGGCGGAATTTCCCATGACGTGGCAAAGTCAGAACAAGGGAAGTGTGGCTCACGACAAGTCGAATCTCGCTAGGAGAGATCGTTCTAGCCTTCTCCTCACCTCTGAGTGGCCCATCGAGTAAGCGAAACAGTTTACTCTGTTTCCAGCCTGTCGCAGCGGCGAGTGCACGGATTCAGCACGCGAAATGCGGCTCGGGGTTGGTATTTACATTAGGAGATTGCAGCCAGAATCACACCAAACCAATTTTCGCACCTTCAGCTCATCCAACACCTTCTTGGTGCTTGCTTCAAAACTAGCCAGCCGCAATTGCCGCTATTCAGGTAGTTCACTCCCTAAGTCTTAGTTCTCCCTCCCAGCTCTGCATCGTTTCATCTCACCAGATTCGCCTAAAGTTTCCATATCATCCCATCCAATGGCTCTCGTACTCAGAACCGCACCTCTAGTGGCAGCATTCATTGGGACAATTATGATATTGTTAGCAGCCGCATTCCAAGGAGCCCTTGCAGCACTACCAGCGATATCAACGGCAGCAACGGCAGAGACAGCTTCTGTGAGTGTGCCGATGAACGGCACTCAGTACCGCACGACTGCTCTGGCGTGCAGCAAGTCGACGCTCGCTGGCTTCGTGAAGAAAGTCACTCTCAAGCCTAAGTAAGTTCTCGCATCACAAACCACATGGTAGTTCCGTATTCCATGCGAAAGTGCAGAAGCTAGGGATTGATTGTGCGCATAAATGCATTATTTTCAGTGAAAATGTTTCGTGCTTTCCCTAAGCGCTCCAGTAACGGACGTTACGAACATGTCATGTCGTGACAAGTCAACCCTAAAATGCTTAGTAGCTAGAATTCTCCTTTGACGAAGTTGGGTTTTCCCTGTGCTCCAAAACTTTGAACATTGCGTCATTTTGTCCCCTTTTTTACTCTCCCCCCCACCCCCCCCCCCCCCCCCCCCTTCCCCCCAAACTCCGGTTCCCTGCCTCATCAGGCTCCTATTCCACTGGAAAATTGTTGGAACGACACTCTATGGAGCTATCGTCGCACAGGCAGGCGGTGGAGCGAAGAACGGGTGGATTTCCGTTGCATGGGTTCAGAGCCCCGGGCGAATGTACCCTGCAGATGCGGTCGTTGGGAATCTCCCCGCACCAACTCGTGTTAAGGCGTATGCCATGAATGGCTACAGCATGTCTTCGGTTGTGCCATCATCCGCATTCAAAGTGACAGCGACGTCAGTTACGAGCAGCGTGTCAGCAACAATTATCAAGTGAGTTGTCTTGAAATGTCTTTTTAGGGCGTGTACCAGTTATGGTGATGGCTGCCACAACTACCGCTGACAACGAGACATCATGCTTTTCAGCAATGCATCAACACATTCCCATCTTTCACATCCTTGCGTTCTCAGATTCACCCGGAGCGGCAAGACGGGCTTGTCCCCGATCAAGTATGCGGGCACAAACAACATTATTTGGGCATACTCATTTTCAGGCTTCTCCAAGAATTTTGGCGACCATGGTCCAAACTGGTGAGCTTATGATTTTTCAATGTATTTATCTGTGTGATAGAAACATGAAACATTCGCACATCTCATCCATTTTGCATGTGCCATTGCAGGGGATCTGCAAGCGTCAACCTGGCATGCAGCGTCTAAGATGTTTTGGTCTCGCAATGGGTGTCAGTAGTGCAACTTACATGATTTCTTTATGTAGGTGTAGTATGATGATACGATGTATGCATGTATGAAAAACAGGAAACAATTGTATAGTTTGTATGACCGTGTCAAAGAATGCAACACTTGGAATGGGTTATTGACACCCGAGGGGTTGGATCCATAGTCTTTCTCAGTATGTGAGATGTTTGCACAATTGCCACGAGTTATATTGCATTACTTTACAGTAGAACATGCCACTACTAAGGACGGCTATAGTGTTTGAGATACTGAGCCACTGGTATATGCGAGTGAGGGTGCCACACTGAGATGCCTTGCATCAACCCTTGGTACATCCTCCACCGCCACCCCTAGGTACCTCACAAAGCACCATGCTGCAAGAAATTGAGTGTGAGGGATAGGAGGAGAGAGGGCCAGAGGGATAGGCATAGCGGGAGAAAGAAGGGAGAAAAGTGTGTGAGGGATGGGCGGAACGAGAGGATGGAGAGGATGGGCAGCAGAGCACGAGGAACGGGGGGTGTCGGTTGCAGGAGATGAAGGGCAGCGAGAGGGAGCAGCCAGTGGGACCCGGGAAGTGGGAAGCGGATGGCCGGTTGCAACGAGCAGTGGGTCGCAAAAAGCGCGAGGCAGGAAGCAGGAAGCAACGGGAAGTGGGAGAGGGAATCGGAGTACGGGAAAATGGAGACCGTCTCGCAGGGTGCAGTGTATGTCTAGTCCGCCCTTGAGTGTTCTGCGACCCTTCCGAAACCCCTGTTCTGCGTGCAGGAAACTCTAATTGCCTGGTCTGGAATTAGTCTATCGTTCACTATGTCCCGGGTGGTGCGTATTGTACATTGCTAGCAGTCCGAGTGTTGGGCTATGGCAGATCGCTTGGAGTGCCTCGCTTTGTGCAGGAATAGCAGAGGGGGGTCCCTCTTGAAGACGGACTTCCTTGTTCCCGACACCCTCTCGCCACCCTCGTCGCGCAATCGTGCGACACGCTGTGCGACAGGCTGCCGACGTGGGAAAATTCACTCTTGTTTTGCGTGCACATTCTCGCGCCGGACTGCTCATCTGTTTAGATCTGGCCAATGGGAGGGAAGTTTTTGCTTTTTCATTTCGTTTGGCGCGAAGTTGTGCACAGTTGCGACCAGATGTCTCGTCGTCCAAAAAGGGACTTCGTTTTTTCTCTGGAGGGTTGGATCAAGAGGGGCCCTGGGTTTTTAAGCCTGCATTGTTTCGTTTTGAGGCTGGAATCTTGAAGTGGCTCAATAGCCAACCTAATGACCTGTTTGGACGAAACAAGTTTCACCCTTTGTTGACCCTCCTTTGATGGCATATTCTAACAATATATGCATACTTACTCTAGATATCTGGGGCATGTACCAAACTATATTATATGATGAATCAACAAAATTGTGTTGATAAAAATAGTTGCAAGTCTTTTGTGTGTTTGCATGGAACCCATGGTTTGTGTGGTTAGGGCGTGTCATAAGAGTACAAGTTATGGTTATGGTACAAACCATAACCTGACCACTCAAGAAGTTCATCATGCCTTAACTATATGCCATAAAACATTATCAATCGTTCAAAACTACTGTAACTGTACGTGTACTCTTGTAATGCGCCCTAAACCCTAAAAACTGGTAACGCAGTCGTGCAGTAGGTCGAGCCATGTCAACGCAATAGGGCAATATAAAGAAATGGCACAAAGATGCCTCATTATGTCGATAACCTATCACTTGGTCACTCGCGACGCGATGACCCGTCCTCCATTGCAGAGCGCACCAGCATGTGGAGTGGGATGTTCAACAAGTATTACACAATACAGAGTGTGGTTGAGCGCAATAGCATCGGCCAATCACTGAGCTAGTGAAATCCTTTTTGGGCCTGGAGACCGCTATGGTAGACCCAGTTTGCCCTGTTTCGTGTCCGCCCGAGCCATTATTTTTAATCCTTCTAGTAGCTATGATGTTGCATTTGTGGGGAGATTTGGAGGCACACACTAGCGCCCCAGGTGAGTCAAAAGGTTTAGGAGGAGGCATGGAAAATTCCGTTGACTAAATAACACCAAACACTAGGGATAAAAGGGGTGGCATGTTTGGGGTTTAGGGCCATACTTTGTCATTCCATGCCATCCCATTCCTTCTGCTCCCATGCCCTCTTCTGCGCTACTTCAATTGTCACATTGCAGCAGCGTTTTAGAAGGTCGTAGATATTCCATCTCACCTGTTGCCTCCCCATCCCATCCCATTGTCAGAATACATAAATGATAAGAGAGAAGAGAGTACAAGAGAGCTATAGGTGGAGATGTACTCTCTAAGAGCATAGCACTAGCTAGCCTATAACTTCTACATATGAATATATGTATAAGTTGACACACCCCCTAGGCTAGATAAGCGGCAGTGCAGAGCAAAGAGCATGCACGGATGTAGACAAAGTCGTCTATGTAGACAAGGATGTAGAACGGAGTCTGGCCAGCACGAACAAAAAGTGAAGGGTCTGCAGAAGACAGAAAGAATTGCAAGTCAGCAAGCGTAGCACGCAGTGTGTCGTGCCACTCACGGGGCGCCTGTCGCAGGTCGTAGACCGAGCGTCGGAGGAGCCACTAGGTCCCATGAGAGAAGGTACCGGGGAAGCCCTATGGACGGCGCAGGTAGACCTGCTCGTGTAGGCTGCTCTGAAGAAACGCAGTAGAGAAGTCGAGGGAGAGGAGCTCGTAGTCACGCTGTGTTGCTACATGTAGCAGCGCCCGAAAAGTAGTCATCTTCGAGGTCGGGGCGATGGTCTGGAAGAAGTCCACCCCCTCGCGCTGACTGAAGCCTCTAGCAACGTAGCACGCCTTGAAGACAGGCGGCTCTCCAGGGGGGCGCTTCACCTTGAAGAGCCACCGAGAATCGACTACGTTCACCCCTGGCGGGGAAACTGCGTCGACGTAGGTGCCGGTGGATCTCCAAGATGCCATCTCATGATCCATGGCAGCTATCCATTGAGAGGCCCAAGGTCCCGAGATTGCCTCAGCGTAAGTGCGAGGGGTCGGGATGTCAAAGGCGTCTGGGTCACCCTCAAGGACTAGGAGCATGGAACAGAGATGGGGAGCAGCCTCTGACAAGAAAGCAAGCTCGTACTGCCTATCCTCTAGGACGTCACTACCAAGGGCAGAAGCACCCCCGAGGGACAGAGGACGGACATGGTCAAGGGCCAGAGCGGTGGCATAATCAAGGCGGGGGGTAGAGGCGAAGTCGGCGACAAGAGCGTCAAGACTCGAGACAGGAACAGACGTGTCGGTAACGAGAGAGGCAAGGACCCGAGGAACAAGAGGACGAGCGGCCCAAAGGTAGTCAGATAGGGGGGGAGGTGCGACAACAAGCGACGACGGAGGAGACGATGGGAGGAGGGGAGGACGAGACGCATGGGAACGAAGAAACATAGGGTGAGAACGTTGAGCAGGAAAGACAGGACGAGCACGAGAGGGACGGCGAGACCAGACGTGAGACGGAGGCGTCTGGTCAGGAGACAGAGGAGGAGACACAAGAGGGGAACGAGGGGGAAGACAAGCTAGAGACGAGCCAGGTGGAGGGAACACAGGGCGGTAGACAGGAAAAGGAAGAGGGGGCGAGAGAGGTTCATGTGAGCGGTCAGGGGAGGGAAGGTCAAGCAGGCGAAGGGCGGACACCGATGGCGACTGCTGCTGCTGCTGCTGCTCGACGCCGACACTTGGACTGCCAGTCGCACCACGGCTACCACCGGAACACTCCATTCCAGCACCCCCAGAACGAGCACCCCTAGAGCAAGAACTCTTCCCAGCACCAGTGCAACCCCTAGGCCCGCCGGGACAAGCCACGACAGGAACCCCAGGACTAGCACCCTCCTCAACGCCACACCCCTACAGTCTACGAACGGCTGCTGCTACGCTGGCGGCGGCGGCTGTTGCTGCGGCTGCGACGACGGCTGCTGCGGCGGTGACTGAGATGGCAGAGGAGGAGACACCTGGGGAGAGGCAGGTGGCGAGAACTGTGCCGCGGGGCCACCAGAGTCAGAATTCTCCTCAACCGGGACAACCGACAGGAGGGGAGTGATGTGAGACACACTAGATGGAGCAGGACGGGGAGGGAGGGGAGCAGGAGCTATCGGGGGAGTGGGAACCAAGAACAGGGGTGGGGAAACAGGGAGACCTCGGTGGGGAAAGCGGTGGTAAAAGGAGACAGACTCGTTGAAAGTGGTGTGACGAGAGTGAAGGAAGCGGTGAGGCGGCGGGTGGTAAAAGTGCCAATCAGACGAGTCATGGGGGAAACTTAGAAAGACACAGGGAACGGTGCGGGCAGTGAGGTTGTCCGTGCCAGAGGCACGAACGTGAGCAAGGCAGCCCCAGACGTGGAACGCAGACGCGTCACCAGGGAACCCGGTCCAAAGAAGGGTCGACGAAACCTGCGGCCGCTGGGAGCACGACCACAGGTTCAGCTGGTGAGCAGCGTAGCGAACGGCGAACGGCCACAGAAAATGGGGTGCAGCGGCATGAATCATGGAGGCATGAGCCACCTCCATGACCAAACCGATGCGTCTCTCAGCGACCTTATTCTGCTGCGGGGAGTCCGGTAGAGTGTACGACTGGGTGATGCCCTCCGCACGACAGAACTGTCCAAGCCGACTTGAGGCGAACTCGCCGCCACGGTCAGAGTGGAGACACAGCACAGGGAGACCGCGATGGAGACGCACAGCTACGAGCCACGCGATAAGAATGTCAGGCATGTCGGTCTTCCACTCCAGAGGAAACACTGTGGCATAGAGCGTGTAGTTGTCGACGAGCACGAGAAAGTAGCACTCGCCGCGCGGTCTAGGGACGGGGGCAGGGCCTCAGACATCAAGGTGCAAGGTTTGAAGGGGCACGGTGGTAGGGCAAAGCGAGGAGGAGTGAGGAGCACGGCGTAGTCGGCCCTCGACGCAGGTGAGAAAAGGACAGCAGGAAATGACGCAGGGAGACCTAGGATGAGACCGTGCTGAGACATGTGACGCTGACGCGGGAGTGCGGGGTGACCTAGGCGGTGGTGCCACAGAAGTGACGGGTGAGTGAGTGACCGACACGAGCAAGCTGCAGCGACCTGTGTAGATACAAGGCCCAAGGAGGGCACGCCAGCCAGGGGGGGGGGGGGGGGAGCAGTATTCAGCGTAAACAGGCCAGACACGGGGTCCCGAGGGAACGTCGCAAGGGGGGAACTTGAGGCGGCCTCTGTACAGACAGCGTACCGCTCGTGACCAGGGAACATAGTGGTGACGTCGAGGTCCTGAAGACAGCCGGCACCAACTAAGTTCCTGGAGAATGAAGGGACGTGCAGACCTGTAAGGGAACCCGAGGGGGCCACTGGACAGGGAAGGGTAGTGTAGCTGGGAGCTACGACAGGACCACAGGAGGGGTCAGCAAGAGCGAAAGTGGCAGGCAGACTGGAGACACAGCACAAAGAGACCACGGTGGAGACGCGCAGCTACGACTCACGGGATAAGAATGTCAAGCATGTCAGCCTTTCGCTCCAGGGGAAACACCGTAGTGTAGCGCGTGTAATCGTCAACAAGCACTAGGAAGTAGCGCTCGCGACGCGGTCTGGGGATGGGGGCTGGGCCCCAGACGTCCAGGTGCAGGGTCTGAAGGGGAGCAGGAGCTGGGCAAAGTGAGGAGGAGTGAGGAGCACGACGCAGCCAGCCCTCGACGCAGGGTGTGCATGGTGGCGCAGGCGAGGGGGGGAGGGCGGGAAGTGACGCAGGGAGACCTAGGACAAGACCGTGTTTAGACATGTGACGAAGACACGGGAGTGCGGGGTGACCTAGGCGGTGGTGCCACAGAAGAGACAGGTTAGCGAGCGACCGACAGTAGCAAGCCGCAATGACCTGTGTCGATGCAGGGCCCA